GTTCCTTTTGACAGTGTACACTGTCTCTTCGGACGTCGGGAACGGCATAGGGTTGGCCGTGCAGGTAATACTTCTTTCTTTCTTTAGTCATTTCATATTTGCGCTTCTTAAAGCTGAAGTTGCAGGCAGGTGGATGCACGCCCTTGTGGCTGGGAGCACAGAGGTCCGTGACGGACACTTTGCTCAAGCTGGACAGGGCCGTGTTCGACATGATGCCTCACCTGCTCGTGGTGACTATCGTCCTCCCGCTCCTGAGCACCGTCGAGGTTCGTTCTGACTACGGTGGTACCCCTTTCTGTCGAATAAAAACGCAAGGGTTTGCGTGAAATTATTTCCAATTTCCCTGAAGTGTGTATCAAATTATTGACTGTTAAGTAACGATGCAAATAGGATACTTTCGTTGCACTTGTGTCAAATTTTGCCTGAAAGTCCCATACCAATTCACGCCCTTCCAAAGGGGTATTTAACGATTCACGTCCTTGAAGGGGTGTTGTTCTTAAGGGGGTAGTTTTCATGCCTTTGTTTTACCAGTGAGTCCACTGTAACGGTGGCAGTGCACAGTGCACGGAGAAAATAATTTGTTTTACCAACGAAAATAAACCTTGATTATAGGATAGAAAAAAATAAGTTGTTTGGTGTACTATCAATTTGTTGTCAGAACGAACACCTTGCTCTTACGACAAGTAACTCGTGAGGAGTACAAACATGTGACTTTTTTCATTTTTAAGATATTTAGTCGACAGTATCGTTCGTTGCCAGAATTAAATGTTCGTTCTGACAACAAATTGATAGCACACCTAACCCCCTTTTTTTTCGCTGTCCCATCATTTTTGTTGATCCATGTATCCGTGTGGACTGCATGGGAGTGCCGCGAGGGCTTTGACTCGGACCGCTGTCCGCAAGGTGGTGGCGAGCGGCATGCGCGCCGAGCTCTTCTCGGTGGGCACGGCGCCGCTCGTCTTCACGCTCTTCATGCCGCTGTGCCTGACCGGCGACACGCTCATGGCGGCGCGGCGCGGCGTGTCCTGGCGCGCCTACAGCGGGCCGTGGCTGGAGGAGCGGCCCCGGCAGCGCCTGCTCCGCCTGGGCCTCATGCAGGCCACCATGGGGCGCGGCGCCATGGTGCGCGGACGCGGCATCGGCAACCTGGACCGCAGGGCGTGCTACAGGGCGCTCAAGTCGTGGTTCAGCTTCCTGCAAGTGCTCATCAACCTGCTAGGATGACTACCTTAGAGTCAAATAAAATTCATTTACGTGACTCGTTGTGGTGTGGAGTGTGCAGTCTTTGAATCGGGAGTTCACGAGTTCATCGAAACCCTAAAAGAATCGCGAAAAGAATTCAACGCTGATTTCAAGTATACCCTCATTCCAGGAACGTGATATCACGTTCAAACGAATGTGGCAAAATGTCACCTTCCTTTGAGCATTGTGTCACATTCGTTTGAATGTGAATCAGCCATAAATTAGCTTATTCACGTTCAAACGAACGTGACACAATGCTCAAAGGAACGTGACATTTTGTCACATTCGTTTCAACGTTTCACCGAGCGTTTCACGTTCCAGGAATGTGAGTGTAATTTGCTCTGGTCTTGGATACAGACCAACCCCCCTGAGCAATCATCACGAAAGATTTTCAAAATTATCAAACTGTTTTTGGATTCTGAGTAATTCTATCGAAGTTTATTATCGTAGTTTATTTTACACTTGGCTCTGCGTAATATTTTTCTTTCGCACGAGTCAAAGGAAACATTTTGAGCCTGCTAATCCCGCCTCTCCAATCAAGGTACTTTAAATGAAGAAATGTAACAAATTTTCTGAAAACCTGCTGATTTGAAATAAACTCTGAGAATTCTGGTATGTTGTGCTGGAGCACTCCCTCAAGACTCCTGGCAATATTTAGACGGGCTACTAAGCCCTAAACGTTCTTTAACTGGTGAAAAATTAGAAGGCTGTGATCAGGCGCCGCGTAGGTAGGCAACCCATCGTTCATTGCTTCAGCAACACAACCAGCGCCTCGGAAAAAAAGTAATTTTCACACCAAATAGAATGCAGCAAAGACCATTGGGCACCGGGCATCTGTTTCTTAGACCCATCGCAACGTTCCGTATGAATTTGAAACAAATCTGAGGTGGTCGAACATTTTCGCCGCAAAAAAGCTAATGGTTTTTTCACGATTTTGGCAAAAAAAATTAAAAAGGGCCAAACTCGGGTGTTGTGCTATGGCACGCCCTTAAGGCTCCTGACAAAATTTAGAGGGCCATTGGGGCTATAAACTGTCTTTTTCTGGCGAAAAAGTGGAATGCCCTGAGCATGCGCCGCGGAGGTTGACAACCCATCGTCCACAGCCTCTTCACTGCTGCAGAAGGGCGTGTCATCACGGAAAAACTTGTTTTTTGTTGCGCCCAGCACCACGAAGGCAGGCCACCCTTTTGACACGTCACAGGGAAGCAGTAAGACACCAGTATACTCTACAAATCGAAGAGCGTACATTGTATGTATTGGCATGTACTGTATGCACCAGTAAGTGCATGCTTGGCAGGCATGCGCTAGCTAGAGCGTGCTTGCAGGCATGCTCCAGTTAGAGCATACAATGTACGCTCTTCGATTTGTAGAGTACTTACGTATAAGCCACTACGTGATCCCTCATCACGGCTGCCGCTGCCTCTGCGCTTCACTGTTAAAAAATTCTGAAAATTCAGACAACTTTTTTCAGACTTGACGTTATGAAACACCAATTAAGACCTTTTTATGAAATTTCATAACTTTTGTCTGAGATGTCAGACAGGGCAGTCTGAGACCGTGCTTGGTCTGAATATTTGTACCCAGTCTGAAATTTCATAATGAAGGGAAGTCATAAAATTAAGATTAGGCTGACTAATACAAAACCAGATATACAAAATCGAACGTCGCGCATCAAAGCATTATGATATTGGCAGTTGTTATGTTGAGGGAGCTTGTTGAATGCAAACTGTGGACCAATCACTTCTCAAATGGTTTGGTCCACTTGCTTGCAGCCGCCTGGAGTTACGTTTCAGGGACCTGCCGCTAGGTGGCGCCTGGAGCGCCGCGGCAGATCGCCTTTTTGTATTTCCGATTAATGTCATTAAAGTAAATAATTTTTGCAAACAGCATCATCTGTTGCTTTAGTAATTATCAGCTCTAGCCTTTAGCAATAAGTTTGAAACAAAATATTACTCTGAAGTCGATAAAACCGCATTTCAATGTTGGCTCTCGCTGGCGTCTGCGTTCGGTCATTAGGTTGGGTGCCCGCATGATCCTCCGTGATGTTGTGGCACACATGGGAGATTGAATATGTGATCTCACCCTCGAACGACGAGTGCCTCAGTCTTACTGCGGACCATCTCGTCTGATATTTAATGAGTAGCGATGGTGTCCATCGTGCGCGGAATCCCGGCGCGCTTTCAAGTTTGCTCTTTCTCTCACAGGAGAAAAATCGTTATCCGTCCAGTAGATGCGCCCTAACAAGCGTCTAGACCCACAATGGGCTGCCCTTTCCGCACGATTGCTGCAGGAGAATTCACACAGTATGTTCTAAAATTTTGGACAAAAGTATGAATTTTCAGCTACAAAGCAGTGGGAATTTTAAGACTTGGCCATGTCGAATTTTAAGACTTCATTTTCAGACCAAGACGAGTCTGAAAATTAATAACGAGTTTATGTAAAAGTACTTCACTCAAATTAGTCTGAAAATTCAGAATTTTTTTTTAACAGTGTTGGCTGCCTCTGTGCTTGGCTCTGCTGCACACCTACACCCACCTTCTCAGAAGCCTGCCACCCATGGGGCACAAAAGAAAATTGGGCTGCCTACCCTCAGGGCGTTTGGGCCCGGCGGTCCGCGTCCAACCGTTCGCAAGTTCGCAGCAGGTCTGATCGGGCGGACGCAGAGATCTCCTCCTATCTTTGTCGCACTCATAGGGCGTTGAGTACTGTAGGGGAACGAAAGAGATGATTCCTTAATTCGGCTGCACTTCCCTGGCGTTCTTTCGGTGTTCACGGAAGCATTTGGACACAGCCTGCACTCGCAGTCTGACTGGTCTTCTACTCCTACACCCTCTATTTGACGACGACGTGTCGCCATCTCATTTCCGTCTGCCGCTTGATTTGACTCAAAATAGTTTGGGGTCACGAATGATCCTTAATAATCCATTCGATTTTTTATACTTAAAAACAGAAATTGTACGCTTCGAATAAATGTGAAGCAAATATAGCAGCTTCTGACTTGCCACATAATATCTTTATGAATACATATTGAATGATCATGCGTATGATATTGCATGCAGGGGAAAATAAAGAAAACCTAACTATTTCTACATTGCCAGAACAGTGAAAAATTCACCATGAACGAACCTAACCTAAGATGGAAATTTGTTTCAACGAAGTAACAGACTATTAAGCTGAACGATTGAAGGGCAGAACGGTAGAACAGCAGAACTAGCAACACGAACTAAACAATGCGCAGTGGCAAAGTAGCTGCCGGCGACTCGTTCTAACTGCATTTTCGTTACCAATTATTACTAGGGGTACGCGCCGTTTAGTGTGGGCGCGTAGTGTGGCTGAGCGATGAGAATTAGTTTGTGCACTTCAGACTTGGCTAAAGTTGACGAAATATGCAACTTATGGGCTCATATAGTGAAATGTCTGGTGTATCAATGGAAGTGATTTTCGTTATCAGCACACAAAAAACTGTTGGGATAAACGTCAAACTCGATTCAAAAATTTTGGTCCAGAATTGGCCAAAATTCGGTAATGCGTGAGTCTGAGAAAATTTCGGAAGTCATTTTTGAGTTCAGCACACCAAAAACTGTAGGAAACGATATTGAACTCGACTTGAAAATTTTGATCCAAAATGACCTTATTTGGGATGAAAATATAAGTCTGGAGTCAAAATGGAGGTGATTTTCGTTATCAGCACACAAAAAACTACTGGGATCAACATCAAACTCAATAAAAAAATTTTTGGGGCCCAAAATTTTGGGCAAAATTTGGTAAAGCGTGAGTTGGGAAAATTTGGAAGTTATTTTGAGTTCAGCTCACCAAAGACTGCAGGAATCAATATTAACTCGACCTGAGAATTTTGGTCGAAAAAGACCTAATTTGAGATGAAAATTTAAGTCTGGAGCAGAAATGGAAGTGATTTTCATGATCAGCACTCCAAAAACTGCAAGAATCAACATGAGTTTCAATTGAGAAATATAAGATATCAAATTGATCTCTAATGGGTAAAGTATGGGTCTGCGTTCATGGATCACCCTTTGTCGTCACCAATACCGTGATGCCTAACCACTGCGATTCCTTCAGTCGAGTAACATTTTATTGCAGCATTGAATCGCTTAAATTTGGGTACTTGTCTGCTTGAGTCACTATTCGATTTTTATTTTTCTTCAAACCAATGAACTCACAAATTTTTTAGTTATTTTGAGAAGCCCTTTTTTCATTCTTTCATTTTCAACCCGTGAATTAAACAATTTAGATGGAATATGTAATTATATTTATATTAAGTGACTCACTTTTGGGCAGTCTGATCTGAAGCATTTGACGGGGATCAAGTTTTGTCAAATTCAGTTAATCGTCTCATGAAGTCCAATGCTGAGGCCCCTTGTTGCTCAAAACGTCAACATAATTTATCTTATTCATGTCTTTGATATTTTTCTTTTGGGGTAAGAGATGACAGTATAGTATTAACATTGGGTATTGGGGTAAGGTTCAGAGAGCCAACTTTAAATCATTACCCAAAACTAAGTTCCAGTTACCGGACACAAACTTTTGGGGAAATGAAAAGGGAAACTTTACATTAAATCCGATTTCCAAGTCACTCACCGCTCAAAACCTGAATCGTCTCTTTAAACCCCAAAATCAATTCAAAATCTGTTAGCATTAAAATTTCCATCTATATATTATTCTTTTTAAACAAGAGATGTTAGGACTAGAAATTTATGTTACTTGCATCATTGCAATAGAATGACATTTCCCGAGTCAAAACCCAAAACAATTTAAAATGTCTTCTAATTTCAACAGAAGTTTTTCATGCATTTACCTGATTTGATTGACTATGTATTTAAAAATAAAGATGTTTTCAGAGGAAACAAAATCAGTAAATGCATACAAAGTAAAAGGCAAAGAAAACATTCTATTTACAATCCACAATACTCACAGTGCACTGACCTGAAGGAAGATTCCCCGTGACGGGGGGGGGAGAGGGGAACGAAACACGCAAACCATTCTCACTTTCATTTTTGTATTTTCCTCTGTTGACTTCCGGGAAAGGGGTTTTAATCATTCTTGAATATTAAAAAATAACTCAGAACCTATTTCGGAGCCCCCTTTTCTCTTTAGTTTGTTTATTTGCAAAAATGCCGTCCCGTCTTGCAGACGGCTTGCAAGCGCGGCTGTCGGTATGAGAAATTGGGCGGCCACACGGTGCTACCAAACCCAACAACGCTAATAACCTAGTTTAAAACGGTGTTTTGAATATTTCAAACGATGATTATTGCTGATCTAAGATAAACTCCCCCTGAAGGTGTTTAGGGGCATCAGGTGGAAGTTTGGATATATTCGATCAGTATTTTGAGAAAGTGAGTGAGTTACGGGCACACAGAAGACAGACGCACGACCAGTCAGTTTTTGGTGCGCCCAAACACGGCAAGGGCTTCGCTATCGCTCAGCCAAAAACCTTTCTTCCTTCACTTCGGCTGCTCGGCGTTGTTGTTGTTAGTTTTAGTTTTGGGGTGCCGACCGAAGAGATTGCACAAGTGTCCGCCACAGAAAGTAGGGCGCGCTGAGAGCGTTCCGGCCGCCACGTAGTTCTACCAGCGGCCACCCCACAAGATAGAGCGCGCAGCGGACGCACCCGACGAGTGCGAAGGGTTCCTACCTGTAGGGCGCTGGAGGCTTTCCCGCAGCTCTGGCGCCTGGGCACGCATTGGGGAGTAAGCTGGTGAACTGACGACGAATATCTCGGGATGGCGTGTCGTCCGTTCATGTAGTGCCGCCAGAGCTCAGTAAAAATGTCACCTGCAACAGAGTGGTTGTGAAAAGCATCGCAGAAATGTCACGATAGGGGGGCGCGAATACGAACTGAAATGGCATGAGTGGTTGTGGGGGAGAGGAGTAAATACGTTTCTCTTTGTAGTTATGCGGTTTTCGATCCCGCAACGTGGAGTCCACGGTTCAAAGGCCGTCAGCAGAGAGAAGCAGTAATTTCCTCCCGGAATTCCCTGGGCCAACTACGCCTCAGCCCGCGCGCGAGTGCATTGAGCGTGTACGACGCAGACAGGGCCAACAGGTGCGTTTCTGTCAGATGGCATGCGCTCCAAAAAGTGTAGTCGAGTGCAGTCGAAAGCGAGAAAAGTGGCGAGAGTGTAAGCCGATAAGTTTGGTGACGCTTTCTGACACGATCGAGTCGGAATGGTTGCGTACCTCGTTGGCGCTACCGAGCGCGCAGCGAAGATTGCCTACCTCTCGGGCGTTTTCGGGCGCGCAGTCTGACTTCGTAGGGGAGGCAACGGACGAACGTTGAACGCCGATACCTACGAGTTGCTGGTGCGGTCGCTGGACTGGCCACGCTCTGGGGATCAGACCAAGACTGCGACTGGCTCGAAATCCGAAGCCGCTCCAGAGACCTCCCTTCCGGCGCTCACACTGACAAGCTGGTGGCAAGTACCGGGCAGTTCGCGCGCCGTCCTCTGAAACAGTGTACAGGGTTCTGACAAGCATCGCGGTAAACATCGAGTGCGAAGAAGCAGTGCGAAAGAGAGACAACGGTGCAAAGCCTCAGCGGGGCTGCATGCAGGCAGGGTGATAAACCCAATTTCTCTTTGCACGGGATTCGAGCCGCGGACTGCAGAGTAAGTTACGTCCATTCTGCAGTCCGCGGTTCAGAGGGGCCGTTCAGAGACCGTCCTTAGAGAGTAGCGGTGTACCCCATTCCCAGGCTTCCCTCTCGGGCCCACAGCAGCAGTGCACCTAATGCACACGGTGCATTGAGGGTGCATGCCACACACTGTGGCAAAAAGGTACGGAAAATTCTGTTAATTTTTTTGCCAGGATTCTCCGTAGCCCTCTTATCAATATTCTCGTAGGCTCTTACAGTATCTCCGTAGGGCCGTACAGTATTCTCTGTAAGTCCGCACAGTCTCTCCGTAGGACCTGGAAGACTGCATAGTCCTACGGAGATCACTGTAAGGTCCTACGGAGAATACTGTGCGGTCCTACAGAAAATACTGTAAGAGCCTACGGAGAATATTGATAAGGGGGCTACGGAGAATTACCACAAGCTGTTTACAGAATTTTCCGTAGCTTTTTGCCACAGTGCATGCAGACCCGACGTAAGGTTGAACGTCCTGTGTTCAGCACCACGAAAGGTGAATAGCGCAAAAAGCATAGTGGGCACATCGGATGCGGTTTACCTTGGCGGCTGCAGGGGCGGGTCGAATGCGTCCGAACTCAAACAGTCGTTTTGCCAGGGCGGAACTCACCTGCACTCCTGCTCTCACTGACGCACCGCGAGCCCCCGAGGCACAAGCAGCCCTCCGGTGCATCAGAAGGCTGTCTTGCAGCCCAGGGGCTTGAACGCGGATGCGCGGGGAGAGGAGTACCCGTACCAGTACCCAACCGCGATTACGAGACCATGCGGACGAACACCTACTCTGAAGGGAGCCCATCCTGCACACACTGCAAGAAAAAGACCGCAACAAAAGTACACAAGTTCCTGCCAAATATTTAACAGGAATTTATTGTACTTTCAAAGTACAGCAATTATTGTACAAAGTACAATGGAACCGGCATGACGAGTGCTGTGCAGTCCAGGCCTCGTGGTTCGTACAATTCTCGTTGTACTTTCTACAATCTCCGTTGTACTTTTTGTACAGTTTTTGTTTACTTGCAGTGCATGAGCAGCATTGAGCGCATCGCTCTCACCTGCTACTGCTTCATTGATACGAAGATACACATGGGAAGAGGTGAGCTGTATTACAAACACTATCGGTTGCACGACCGGAGTCGGCGAGGTGACCACGACGCAGGGCACCTGGTGCCGAGGATTGCGCGTGGCGCAGCACGCAATCGTCTGCCCTCGCTGGCGCGGTCTGCACGGCCGTCGGCGCGGCAACACTGCAAGCAGGTGGTCCGTGGGCGCGACAGAGGAGCTACTCGCGGCTGAACGGCACTTCGGCTGCAAGTGGCCTCGGGCAGCGGGGCCACAGCACGTCGACCGCTCCAAAGGAGTTACTCTAAACCGTCGTACTGCATCGGCCTATCAAACGGCTAAATTCGGTTCGCTTAGCGATCTTGGGGAGCTCGACCCGCGCAGCTTCGGCGTCGGAGCGCATCTCGCAGCGCGTCGGGAAACCGGCACAGCGCGGCGGGCGCGGAGGTTATGTTGCCGCTCGTATTTAGTTAATACTGCAACAGTCAACATTTGAACTCTGAAACAAAGTCGTTCTGACGAGAGCATGTGTTAATCTTCGCAAATAAAGAGTCGTGCTATGAAGTACATTTGATCTGGCAGCCGCCGTATGGGAAGGTGAGCGGTTTCTCCGAGCGTGCGAGATGAGCGGTTTCTCGGACGGCCGCCAAGTGACGGGTTCTGACGCTCAAGATGAGCGAGTCTAAGCGACCAGAAATTTGAGCGCTCGATAGGAGGTTAGCGAATGACGGAGGCGGAGTGCGTGTCAGTCTGTGGTCGAGGGACTCCCTGAATCCGCGACGGCCACCCACCGCTGGCGCGGCCGCGACCGCGGCGCCGAATCGCCACTGCCACTACTACCGGCGCGCGTCCGGGAGCGTGTCGCATTCGCATTGGTTCCCTGCTGCAACGACGCCGAAGACGACATGGCCTCTGGTCGGGACCACGTTCCTTGGCCGACTCAGAGGCCTTAGGGAGCTCAGCGCTGCCGCGCAGAGCGCCGTGCACCGCTCTGCAGCAACGCCGTGGCTCCCTGCAGCGGGCTACGACGACCCCCCCTGGACAACGGCTTAGTTCAGGTCCTGGAGCGCCGTGAGGCGAGGCGCGGCAGCCACCTGCAGGCCGCCGAACACGCCGTCCTAGCTCACGGCCTTGCGGGCCACCGCTCCTAACCTAACCTGTGCGCCTCCTGGACAACGGCTTGTTCAGGTCCTGGAGCGCCGTGAAGCGAGGCGCGGCAGCCACCTGCAGGCCGCCGAACACGCCGAACACGCCCTCCTAGCTCAGGGACTCGCGGACCACCACTCCTAACCTAACCTGTGCGTCCTCCTGGACAACGGCTTTGGTCAGCTCATAAAGCACCTCAAAACGTGGCGTGGGCGGAAGGTCACAATAAGTCCCAGAGGACACCTAAAGCAAGGACCACGTTGAGGGGTACTACGTCGAGACCCTCGACCTTCGCCACTTTACCACGCGCGCGTCCTCGGGCTGACGGCAAGCCGCGCTGCGGTGCATCACTGCCGCACTTCCCCCGCGCATCTTTCTTGGGTTTCTCGGCTGTCGCACACAGTCGCTCTGAATTTCAGTCACCTTTTGCCCAGTCCCTTTGGCTCGGCGTAAAAGCTATGCCTTGGGTACCCATGCCGCCATACCATTCGCTGCCAACTGCCGGCCGTCGGTCACCACCCGCGGTCACTTCCAGACAACGACGGCGTTGTTTGCACGTTTGTAACTACCTCCAAGTTTGGAGGTGAATTCTTGGAGGCAATGAAGCGGCCAAAAAAGTAGAAGTGTTTTTCCTTACGTTTTGCTGCTTCTAAAACTACCTCCAAACTTTAGAGGTGAATACTTTGGAGGTAATTTAGCACCTCTGTGACTGGAGGTGATATCGCTTTCGTGTTTGGAGGTAATATTAACTACATTCAAAACCACCTACAGTACCTCAAACTCTAGAGGTTTATTCTTTGGAGGCATTTTAGTCCCTTTTTTTGGAGGTAATAACTTCTCATGTTAGTTTTACCTCCAATTGGTTTTGGAGGTAATACAGTTGGAGGTAGTGGGCAGCTCCCGAGGGCCCCCCTCCCTCTCGCACCGGCAAGGCGATGACGGCGACGTCCCTGAAAAGTTGGCGCGCTGGGTTTCGGCGGCGGAGCCCGGAGCCGCCGGTTTCGCCTCTGGTTTGTCCGTTGAGCGCGGGATTTCCCTCGCCGTCGCTATAAATAGTTGCGTCCCATAGGGAATAAGAAAAGGTCACGTCGACGTCCAGTGAGCTACAATTGATAACATTTTGGCGCGCTCCCCGAATCAATGACCTCAACGGGGGATGACTCCCCTGACCGTGTACGAAGTATTATAAATGATCGGTATTTCAAGTATTATGTTTAGATAATTGTGTCACTTTCGTGGTTTTCATCATAAAAAAAAGTTTCCAATTACGTAAGGGAGTTTAAAACGGAAGCAATAACATGAATGCAATCGGAAACTAGCATTTTGGCTCGAGTTTTTTGAGCCCCAAAACAAAACCGTACATGCTTAAGAGCCTCAGCACCGTCATTCGTTTTGGCGCCATTTTGTAACTCTTACATTCAAAATAGAAAATCGCTGAACTTCCATGAACTACAATTTCACCGGTCACTTTAAAGCTAAAAATACACTATTTATGCGGCTTTTTTAAAGTATTATGGATTGATATATTACAGGTATTATTCGTGTACCGTCAACCGGGAAATCTTACTAAGCCATCCCGTCAGAAGTTTCTTCATGGATTGGGGTAACTTCTGAGGGGGATGGCTTAGTAAGATTTCTATGCGAGCTGCCAGCGGAGCCTGTCCGAAATTACCCCGGATGTCCGAAGTTACCCCAGTTTACGGTATTGGGCTTGCTTTCGAAGTAAGGAGTCAGCCCCCCTTGATGACCCCTCATGACCTGTATTTTGCTACGTATTTCGTGTCATCACCGTAAAATGCATTTGACATAAATATAGTGACCTTTATCAGTGCTTGCGGGTTCTGCGTTAGTTATAATTCAAACCATTTCAACGTTCGTGTACTTAGTTCAAATGTTTTCCCCCCAGTGCTATTTCGCGTTTTTCCACGTTTAAGGGTAAACGGTCATCAAAATTCAAGTTGTTTCCCCCGTGTCCGCCAAAAACTTTCATCGGGACAGTTAGGTCAGATTTCTCCGGCTTTGGCGCCCTGACTGTCGTCCCCCTCCCATGTAAATGAAGGCGCGAGTGGCACCTGGTCGCCGTGCGTGGGCGTGGGAACGCCGGGGGCGGTAGCCTGGCCCCGACTCAACAGCGCGAGCATGACTCAATCTGATTATCTGCCGCTATCTCTTATTTGACGAGTGCTGCGCCCCTCGACAACACTGGCAGTGACGTCACTGGCGTGCGCGGTGCGCTTTACAAAGAAAATGATAACTTGAGATGCGAATTTGACAGAAAATACCACGTCAAACACGGGTCATGAGGGGTCGCCAAAACAGAGTGTGATCAAATTTAACTAACTTGTCAATTTTAGCTTTTTCAAGCGGTCCTGTTTCTGTTCCCTGAGGCTAGGCTGCATGCGGCGCCACCATCAGACAGATTCCGAGGGTCTGTTACACATTCAGTCTCTCGCACTCACAGGGCGTCGCGCAAGGGTGCAAGAAAGATAACGACGAAAACGACTCTTCGAATCATTCTGCAGGCATACGCCTGCTGCAGGCAGATTCCGAAGAGAGCGAGCAGAAACGAATCGACGATCGTCTCACCGCGGCGACTCGAATTTCTCTGCGAGTGTCGTCGGGTAGTACCGACGGCTCTCCACTGAAAATAGAAAGGTCATACTTTTGACCGCTTAAACGGTCTTACTGAAATGTTCGACCGAAAAAGGGTCATACTGAAATGTAAGACCGAAAAAAGGTCATACTTCGATGTATGACCGAAAAACGGTCATACTTTATAGTGTATCACGGGTAAAGGCTGATATATCCCCAAGCTAAACAATATCCAGTCTCGCTGATGTCTGACCTTTTTTTGGTCATACATTTAAGTATGACCGTTTTTCGGTCATACATTTGTGTACGACCGTTTCACGGTCATACTTTTTGTATCACCGAAAATTGGTCAGATGTCTCTCACCCTTTGAATTTCAGTGTCGGTCCAGATACTACACTGTTAAAAAATGGTTGTACAGAAACAATCAGAAGAGTGAAAATTAGTCGTTCCAAAACATAGAATTTCATCATGAACCAAAGCGAAACAAATGTCGTTGAGTCTAGTAAGCGACATTTTGTCGTTGAAGAACAAAATTCTTGTTATCACTCTTTATGATACAATTTGTGTGGAAACAACATCCTTTGCATCTGCTCAATTAAAGCATATTACTAGGGGTACGCGCCGTTTAGTGTGGGCGCGTAGTGTGGCTGAGCGATGCGAATTTGTGCATTTCGGACTTTGCTTATGTAGACGAAATGTGCAGCTTGTGGGCTCATATTGAGTGAAATGTAGGTCTGGGGTATAAATGGAGGTGATTTTCGTTATCAGCACACAAAAAACTGTTGGAATCAACGTCAAACTCGATTCCAAAATTTTGGTCCGAAATTGGTTAAATTCGGTAATGCGTGAGTCTAGGAAACATTTGGAAGTC